GATGTGTAAAAGGTTTGTGTAGCGACTTCTTGCGGCTGCTGGTCGCACTGCCCTGGCAAAATTTATCATGTAAACCAGGCATCAGAGGCCTCTCAAGGAAAACTAATTAACTCCCAGCTGTCTAAACATCCATACAAGTTACTAGGGCCGTGCTCCAAAATGTACTCGATCTTACTCTAGGGTAAGGGTTTTGTATTTTAGCGTTCGAAAACCTCCCAGTACCCAGCGTTACTTCACCTGCGTTGTCACACAACATAATCTGCCGGAGCAACTAGGACCCATTCGAGTAAGATGTGGAACACATCCAGGCAACGTGGGCATTTAATGGAGGCTAGTTGCAGTGAAGTTATAGTGTACCGGTTGCATGTGAAAGATACTCAAGTGGACTAAATGAATTGAACCCAGGCATCCTGGGTTAAATCCCCACCCCTGCCCGTTTCGATCTGGATGAGCATCGTACCGGCGTGCATCACTACTGCGTGATGCGCGTTAAGACCCCCAGGCTAGCGGTTGCACTCCACTAGCTAAATTTTTTAATCCATAGCTGGGAGACTCGTCGCCCGTTGAGGCAGACCTAGTTCTAGGCTGTATAAACATACACAAAAGCCAATTTTACTAATTTGTTTTACTCTTACTCAGTCGGAATATTGTCCCATTTTACTGGAAGCAGGTATTTTGTATCCTCGTGCTGGTGCCGTTCTTCTGTAAATGAGTTAGCCTGTACTCCATTTCGGCATAACTTGGCAAAAGTTGCAGACGAGCAGAGGTGGTACCTGGTTTACTTCTTCATAAATTGGGAGACACCTTTTGTGCGATTTTTACTTCATCGGTCAGTCTCCCACCGGGCACGTTCTCGTATTCACTCCAGCTGTGTTCATAATGGTTCTTTTTTATGTGTCCTCATGCAATGCATTCATGTTGAACCCATCCATTGCAGTATTTTCGTTTTGTGAAAGTCGCAGCCGAAACGCTTTTATATGAATGACCCGATCGTTACGCATGGTGCAGAGAAAAGAGCACCCTTTATGTTTCATGGCACATTAATTTTAGATTCAAAATTAGTGTATTTACCGAATGGAACTGCACACCCCAAGTAGAACCGAATAGATCGCTGTGCACGCTGATAATAACTGTCAACAATATATGTTTTAGAATGTTGCACATGCCTGATGATGTATGAAGATGTATAGGTGACTGATTTTTTCTCTCTCTCTATATATCTATCTATCTATCTATCTATATATCTATCTATCTATATATATATATATATATATATATATATATATATATATATATATATATATATATATATATATATCATTCAGAGATTGTATAACAAGAAATTTATTCAAAAACATCAATTCAACACTGGCAAGTGTGGAAGATCTTTTCCTAAAGATAAAAATTATTCTTTTATTGATAACATGTTTTCTTTAGTTTAATGCTCATACTGATACGGAGTATAATTATTGTACATGGCTATCTTCTATGCACATAGCCTCAAAGAATGGTATTTTACAGCAATGTAAAAAAGTCACTTGAAAAGCATTGGGAAAAACCGGGTGAAGTATAAATATTCCAATTTCGGTATTGTTTTCGTAATGAAACACTCGTCCCTCTTTACAAGGACAGGCTCCGATGCCTTGGGGCTATACACATAGAAGATAGCCTGCTTGAGGTTCAGGACATATAGTTGTACCTGCACCTGTGTGTAGTGTGGGTGTGGTGGCTCGAGCGAAAGCTCACTGTCGGTGTTAGTGAGGTAGGCCTCAGTGCAGACTCCTGCGTCAAGGTCCAAAATGGGGCGGGTCTTGCAGGATGATTTTGGGCATTTCAGTTCAATGAGAGCGGTTTTTCCGCTTACTTGTATAAGGCCGTCCGGGCTGCAGCAGAGCCAGGGCTGTTCGGGCATGACTACAAGTCCAGTCTGAAATAGTAAACTATAAATATCTTTCTGCAGTAAGAGTCCAAGATTATTGTGGGCATGAAAATCCCTTGCCTCAAAAACCGGTGAGCCCAGTTTACCCTGCAGCTCCTTCACTGCTTTTGGCCCTGTCACGATACCTGCATGTATGCATACAAGGTACGACAAAATGCAAGACAATGTATGAACAGATTATCTACAAAGCTTTGCCTCCAGACATTCACTATGATGTCATCACGCAGTGCATTTCCGAAGTTCAAAATGAGTATGTGCTAATTACCATACTGGACAGCTTTTTTGTGAAGCGCTTGGGTCTGCATATGCCCAAGGCTAGAGCATCGAAGTTGCCTTCTCTTGTGCGGATCGCATTCGCGGTCGTGCTCGAGATGGCATGCGGCGCTCTTTATGCTACCTGGACGCATTAGACAGACAGAAAGCAAAGCAGACGAAAGCTCTTCCCACCACCCAGGCAAAGCAAGCAACCATTTTGAACCTTCTTTCACACGCTCTAAGTGATGGTACATTCAAAGGATTTACAAGGTGCAATTATGTTCAGATACTAGTTTTGTAACGTGGTAATTCATGTGGTAGTTTAGTAGCGTGGTAATGCAGGCAAAGGTGTCAGAAGCATGGATGTTCATGTGCCGTTATGCCTAAGGCCGTCATTCTTGGAGCATTTGAAACTGCGCTGGACGTCTTTTTGCAACCACCTGCAAAAGCACGTGGGTTATTTAAGCATGGACCGCAATGAGAGCGGAGAGAGCATCAATTCTGCGTCGTGCTCGGAAAATCTTGAACAGAAACCTTTGAAATGATGCAGCATGCTTGTCAAAAAAGCAGTAGGTTGTGCGAGGTATTTTGAGGGGGTGCTCGCACTTTAAGAATGGCAGAACATCAGTGGAAGACGGAGAAAGTCGGTAATGGGTTGCCCCAGCTAAGAGCCACTCGAGGCAACTCGCACGATTGATATTTCGCCAAGCCTAAGGGATTCTTTTAAGGTCGCTGCACCAGATCTGCCCAGTTCGACACAGAATTAGTTCTCGCTCTATGATCTCATTGCAGTTTATGCCAAAAGCGCAGATGTATAGCACAATTCTAAATGATCACAAAACGATGCCCTTTGGCATATGAAGGTCCCTGTCTTTAACAGCTGCGCACGCATCGCAATACTTTGTAATATACTTTAACTACGCCAGATAAAACAGTTGGTCCTCATGAGCCACCTCACTGCAGAAAAATTTGCGATACATTTTTGGTGATGTTTCTTTTGGTATAATTATTGAAACTTGGGTCATCATAACGTATTAGTCGATCTGAATAGAGCGTGCAATGGGAACTATAAGCACTTGATCGATCCTCATTCAAAGTCATGCAAATAGGCAGAAGGTGAAATGCTTCAAATAGGTTCACGCCACATGCAGAAGCTACGTGCGGCTACGCGCCACGTGCGGAGGAGCATGATGTTTTCCGACATACTGCTCCTGCAATTCATCGCCAAGCGTTGACAGAAAGTTGAGAGCTTTTAAAAGCATCCTCAGGCTCGTGGAGCAGGCAGTCATGTGGTGGTAGACCTCGCGAGGCCCCTTCATGGCAGCGAGGAGCCCAACAAGCCTTGCCTTGTCCACGGACAAGGACACCTTGCCGACCATGTCATCCAGGGCATTTCTGCATACTAAATCATCAGCACTCCTGCTAGAAAGTTGAAGGATCTCCATTAAAGGGGCCCTGGATTTCAGAATAGCATTCCAGCATAACTGATGGCGACGCGGGTCGAATGCCAGAGCACGAGGTTGAAAAAAAAAATAAAGGTTTTATACTAGCTCTCTATCTAGCTGAACATTGTCATTAAAATTATAGCCAAGTGATGCACAGCCATTTACACACGAATAAACCAAGGCTGAACTCTTGGTTTTGCAATCTTCCTTCATCTCGGAGGGACAATTTAACAGCACATTTTTTTTCGGTTTCGGCAAATCTGTTATTCATCTGCATGGGCAGATAAATAACAGAGGCACGAGGAATCTTCGGCACTATTAATAAAAAAAAAACTGCGGCACAATGCTTGCAGCGGTTTGAGACACCGGCCCGGCAAGAACAGGTACCGGTCACGACCGTACGCGGGGACTTTGATAGCTAAAGAAAAAGAAAAAGATCGTTGACCTTTATTAACAGATTTTCTTTCGAAGTGATAATGGGTGAAAACATTATATCATCGTAACTATTGTACTATGGCAGCGTCGTCCGCGAAACGTAAATATATCTGAAGAAACTCAAGTTTCGTTTTTCTAGTACAGCCATCGCACATGACGCAATCCCAATAAACACCGTCATCTTCTGTTTTGGTTTTGTCAAAACATGGCGTACGGCTCATTCCTCGTGGCGGAGTTCTAATATTTTGGTGCCGAAAACTCGAGATGACAACGATATAGTCACGACGGAATGACGACGGGGCATCCACCCGCAACAAGACGAGCCAAGGGACGCCACAAGAGAACGAGCCACCAGCGACGCTAACGACGTTATCACTCAACGAGGCCTAGTGACGTCGCAACGAAACGCGCCAAGAAAACACGCCAAGGGACGCCGCAAGAGAACGAGCTCCAACGACGCTACCGACGTTATCACTCAACGAGCCAAGGGACGCCGCAAGAGAGCGAGCTCCAGCGACGCTACCGACATTATCACTCAACGAGGCCTAGTGACGCCGCAACGAAACGAGCCAAGGGACGCCGCAAGAGAGCGAGCTCCAACGACGGTACCGACGCTATCGCTCAACGAGGCCTAGTGACGCCGCAACGAAACGAGCCAAGGGACGCCGCAAGAGAGCGAGCTCCAACGACGCTACCGACGTTATCGCTCAACGAGGCCTAGTGACGCCGCAACTAAACGAGCCAAGGGACGCCGCAAGAGAGCGAGCTCCAACGACGCTACCAACATTATCACTCAACGAGGCCTAGTGACGCCGCAACGAAACGAGCCAAGGGACGCCGCAAGAGAGCGAGCTCCAACGACGCTACCGACGTTATCGCTCAACGAGGCCTAGTGACGCCGCAACGCCGCGAAACCCAGAGACGCCATGGAACGACTAAAGCAGAAGCGGACGGCTCTGAGGTCTCAAGTAACGAGACTGATCTCCGATATCGACGCAGCTATCGCAAGGCACTCCGACGAGCGAAGCCTCAACGTATTATCGGTGAGGCTCAGTGAGTTGCGAATACAGCTGAGCAACGTGAACGCATCCTTTGAACCACTGCTACCTGACGGAGACGTTGAGCAAAACTACGATCGCACGATTGAATATGACGACAAGGTCGTCACGTACATCGCCGCCATCGCACAGGAGGTAGAGGAACTCCGACGAGCGAGGCCCCAAGCCGGTACAACGCGGATTCACAACGACGGCGACGGACACGTTGCAACCTCTAAGGTGAAGCTGCCGAAACTGGAGCTTCAACGGTTTGGCGGTGCAGCTGCCGATTTGCAACCCTTCTGGGAACAGTACAAGCAAGCCATACATGGCAACGACAGCCTTTCTAACGCTGAGAAGTTCTTGTACCTGCGGTCGGCGCTTACGGGAAAGGCAGCATCGGCGATAGCCGGCATTCAAGCAGCGGGAGAAAACTACGATACCGTCGTTGAGCTTCTCAGGGAGCGCTTCGGTTGGACTGACGTTCTCATTCAAGAACACCTCTCCCAACTACTTGCGGATTGCGACGTCTCTATGACCACTTGCAACGTAATATGGCCGCTCTCACCGCGCTCGGAATGAAGAGCGACACCTACGGAGCTATGCTCTACTCTGCGCTACTGAGAACGCTGCCAGGAGTAAGGTCATTGACTACCACAAGTGTCAACGTCCTACGGACAAGGAAAACGACGGTATCAAAATGGAGAGCCTGCAACGCTTCCTTAAGCTCGAAGTGGAGAGCCATGAAGACGCTCAACAAGTTCGTCAGCGAGAAGCCAGGAGTATGAGCCATACCAAGATAACAGAAGGCGGGAAGGCTTCTCTCAAGGGATCAGTCGCTGTTCTTTCCTCAGCTAGTCGCTCCAAGCAGACTGAACCGTGCGCATTCTGTGCCACGAAGAACCACGCAACACGAGATTGTCAGACATCAATTTCTCTGGAGGAGGAAAAGCAAAGATTTCGAAAAGCAGGACCATGTTTCCGGTGTTCGATCAAGGGACACACCTCCAAAGAATGACGCAACAAAAGAATAATCTGTGAAACATGCGGGCGAAGGCACATAACTCAAATGTGTGACCCATCCTGGAAGAAAAGTAAGAACACCGCAGCAGTGTTACCCTCTTCGACTGGCAAGAAGAGCGATAAAACACCTGCTGTACTACTTCAAACAGCTGAGGTCTGGGCAGAAGGGAAACAGCAAAGAGCTCTCACGCGCATCCTTTTTGATGGAGGAAGCCAACGAACCTTTGTGATGGAAGAACTTTCACGTAAGCTGCAACTCGAGGTTGTTGGCAGAAACGCAGAAGGGTACGAGTCTGGCTAAGGAGCCAGAACAGTCAAAAGAAGCATTGCCTAGAAGCTCTGGAGATACCAGAGATTTGCTCCGATCATCATCATCTACCTGAGAGTGTAGTGCAAGGAGTCCAAGTACAGATAGCTGAGCTGGCAGACGTCACCTTGCCACCAGCCCAGTTAACAAGACATGGCATTGACATTGTTATCGGTGCTGACTACTATTGGACTCTTGACTCTGGTGAGGGCCAAAAAGTGCAAGGCGCTCTAGTCGCTGTCAAAACAGACCTTGGATGGACACTTCAAGGACCGATTCCCCAGAGCGGTTTGACTGCCCCCTGTTCTACTGCGGCAGTTCTGAAAGCCAATGTGGGTGGAAGCACATGCTCATTGTTTACCGAGCTCTGGTCATTTCGGGAGCTGGAAAGCATGGGGATCACCGATCCTAACCTCCCACAAAAAGAAGAGGAGAATGAAGTTGTCAGAGCGTTTACATCATCCATCAAGCTAACTACCGGACGGTACGAGATGGCTTTACCTTGGAAGCCAATGAACATTCAGCTGGCAGACAATGAAGGAGATGCAAGGAAGCGTCTGGTGAGCCTCACAAAGAAGTTGCTTAAGGACGACGTGATGCTGACTGCGTATGATAAGACAATTCGCCAGTATCTCCGGCAAGGATTTGCAGAAAAATTTCACCGAGTGCAGACAAGGCAGAGAACCGAGTGCACTACATGCCTCACCGTGCTGTGTTACGACCTGACAGCCTCTCGGCCAAGGTCAGAGTCGTGTTTGATGCGTCATCAAGAGAACCAAAGTGTCTGTCTCTGAATGACGCACTAGAGCCAGGACCAAACCTGACTCCGGACCTCCTGAAAGTGTTACTAAACTTTTGGATTCATCGTATTCGCCTCAGTGTGGACATTGAGAAGGTATTTTTACAGATCTTACTGAGACTGGAAGACCGTGATGCTCTACAATTTTTCTGGTCCGAACAAATTCCAACGAAGCAGGAGCCGAACCCTCCTTTAGAAGTTCGGAGGATGACAAGGGTTCCCTTTGGAGCGACCAGCAGCCCGTTCCTTCTCGCAGTTACACTACGTCCCCACTGGTCGATTGCAGAGTACTATCCGGAAACAACAAAATAACTAGCCGAAAGACTCTTCGTCGATGATCTTATCACTAGAGCGAACTCCGAGGAAGAGGCAGAACAGTTCTATCCTCAAACATTACATGTTATGAAGCTAGCCGGAATGACAATGCGAAAGTGGAACACAAATTCTACGAAGCTACGTCAGCTATTCAACGAGGAAGGAACCGGGTGTGGTTCTAGATCAAGTAGAGAGTACCACCCCTAGCGTCTCTCGAGTGTTAGGACTTGTCTGGGACAAGACAGCGATTGCCTGGCGTTCTCTATGGGGCCTGTTTTGGAAATCCTAGACCGGAACAGCAACACGAAACGATTCATTCTCCAGGCATCATCTCGCATTTATGACCGATTAGGACTACTTTCCCCAGTCACCGTGACAGCCAAGCTGATGTTCCAAACCCTCTGGGAACTGGGTGTCGACTATGACGCGCCACTACCTGAAGAGGTTCAAACAAGATGGACGCAGTGGCATGCAGCACTGCACCACTTAACGAAAGTAACAGTACCCCGACGGTGCCTTGAACTTCCTCAGGATGACCGAAACGAAGTCCACATATTCACAGATGCCAGTCCCAAGGCTTATGGAACTGTGGCGTACCTGCGCACGCAGACTGCACCAACGAGGGTGACTTGGGTGGCGCCGCTAAAAAAACTTTCTCCCCCATGGGAATGGTGATAGGGGCAAGGCTAAAGGACTGCCTTACTAGGTCGTTGAACCTACAAGTCGCCAGCTGGTACCTCTGGACAGACTCAACAATCGCACTACATTGGGTGCGAGGTTCTGCTCAACAGTGGAAGTCCTTTGTGGCCAATTGAGTATTGGAGATCCAACAGCTGACTGATCCAGAGCTTTGGAGCCATTGCCCTGGACTAGAAAATCCGGCTGATCTGCTAACAAGGGGGGTGACACCCGAAGCACTCAAGTCGAGTGCGGCATGGTGGAACGGACCGCCATGGCTTACGGAGTCACCTGCTGCCTGGCCAACGCATGAAGCGGGTGTTGATATGACCGCGGCAGATGAAGAAAAGAAACAAGTTCGAGTCCATAGCGTAACACTGAAAGAAGAACAGGTTTTGCCTATGCAGCGCCACAGTTCCCTCTCGAAGCTTGTTCGAGTTGTTGCCTGGATACGACGATTTATACATAACTCTAGACATCGCAGCCAAAAACAGGAGGGTTGTTTAACGACCGAAGAAGTAGCACAAGCTCAAACGTGTCTGATCCTGCAGGTTCAACAGGAGGCGTTTCAGAGAGAGCTCCAATGCGTTCGACGCTTAGCAGGCATGGAAAGCAACCCTCCGTTACGGGACTTAAACGCATACCATGACAAGGACGGGGTGCTGAGGGTCGGAGGACGCCTCAGTAACGCTGACATGTGCGACAATGCAAAGCATCCCATCATTCTTCCATCAAGTCATAATTTTACCGAGCTTTTGACCAATGCCACCCATCGACAACTTCTCCACGCTGGTCCCCTTGAGACTCTGACAGAACTGCGGGAACAGTTCTCGGTCATTCGAGGAAGACAGATGGTAAAAAAGGTGCTGAAGAAATGTGTGATCTGGTGACCATGTAAACAGCCAAGCGGCCACCAAGCCAGTTGCTCCACTCCCTCGAAACAGAGTAACCCAAGCGGCCCCCTTTGAGGTGACTGGTGTGGACTTCACGGGACCGCTCAACACAAGGGATAAAAGCAACAACAAGAAGTCTTACATCCTCATTTTCACCTGTGCCGTTACCCGTGCCATTCACCTCGAACTAGTGACCGACATGTCCACCCCCCATCTTCTGATGGCCTTCAGACGATTTGTGTCAAGAAGGGGAGTGTGCCGAGTCGTCTTTTCTGACAATGCAGAAACGTTTCAGCGTGCTTCAAGGGACCTGAATAAACTGTGACAACGTTGCGTGGAGAGGAGATACAAGCCTACTTCGCTGATCGGCAGATACAGTGGAAGTTTATAATCGAGAGAGCTGCCTGGTGGGGTGGGTTCTGGGAGAGGATGGTCCGGTCGGTAAAGTCCTCGCTCAAGAAAGTTTTGGGTAACAGCTACTGCAACTTCGAAGAACTGACGACCATCTTAACTGAAATTGAGGCTGTAATTAACTCAAGACCTCTGACATACGTCTACACCGAAGCCACCGAAAAGGTACCACTCATCCCTTCCCATTTTCTGGTGGGAAAGCGTTTAACTGCACTTCCGACCAGGTCCAGCGCGGAGCCTGTGCCTCCCCTTGAAGGAAAATACAACAGGCGGTGGCGTTACCGTCAAAAGATGGCAGATCATTTTTGGCGTAGATGGAAGAGGGAATACTTGACCAGTCTGCGATCTGCTCATTTCACGGTGCCGACTTCCTCCAGTGCCCTTAAGAAAGGAACTCTAGTGTTGGTCCACCAACATCTCCAACCTCGACAACTTTGGAAGACGGGAGAAGTCGTAGAAGCATTGACTGGACGAGACGGGCACGTACGAGCTGCTATGGTGCGTCTTCCTAATGGAACCATTATTAGGAGACCTGTATCACTTTTATACCCCATGGAATCTATTTACTAATGATTTGACGTCATTGTGGGGGAGTGTGAAGAAACTCAATTTTCGTTTTTCTTGTACAGCCATCGCACATGACGCAATCCCAATAACATCGTCATCTTTTGTTTCGCTTTTGTCAAAACATGGCGTACGGCTCGTTCCTCGCGGCGGAGTTCTAACAATATCTTCAGTGTGAAAGAACTCTCTGCAGCACCGCTTCTGCTGAAGGTTAAATGACGGAAAAATACCGTGGTCGCAATCTCGACATCTACGAGAACGCACGCCAACAGTGGTTCATTGCATTTAGTAATCTTAGGATAATCAGCAACAACGTTATTCCGATGTGAAATGTAAACACCAGTCACCTGCAAAGAGATGTCGTACGCGACGTTTGGTCGCACCTGCGACACGCATTTCGCCTTCACCTCGTTCGCAGGCCGTTCATTATTTCCTCCACGGAAAACACACGCTTATGCAGCTTCTCGTCCTTTTTTTTAAATTTGCCCCGCGAAAGAATTCTCTGACGCTTTCTATTTTTTGGAGGCCGCACCGTAAACGAAGCATTATCACGCCGCATTAAACAATACGGTTACGGCACCGAGATGCTCTC